TTGTTGCAGTGTTAAGACAATTTCAAATAGCTTTTCCAGGACGTAATCTTCATCGAGCGTTTGGCGTAATGTCAACAAATACCGGCTGCATGCATTGAATGGAAGAACCACCCCATAAAGTTTAAATCGAAATAAAGGAAACTCTGGAAGAAGAAGAGTTTTCTTGGATGTGAGACAATGAACGAACTTGTGTGAACTTAGAAATGGATGCCACGTTGAGTAAATGTGTACTTCCAACTTATTTTTTGGAACGTCCACGTTTTTTAATTTTCCAATAGCTGTTATCGTAATTGAATACGCCGCTGCGGCGAACCAGCGGTATCTCAGTGGAAGTACGCACGAAAACGAGGCTAAAGGGTCAAAAAACACATAACATGACCCTATAGCCTCGTCTCGATGTTAAAATAATGCAGATACCGCTGGTCCGTAGCATAGACGTATTCAATTACGATAACAGCTATTGCACTTACTTAAATTGACACAGCTCGCCAGCAATAACTCCAAATTTTATAAAATAAAGTACATAAAATAGCCGAAAGATCGTGATTTCGAAAGAATGCAAGTATAAACGTCTAACTTTCATATTCGCTTTGAAATTCACACTTCATGTGAGGACTCCGTTTTTGTTTATACACCCTGTATATCAGGGTGTTGGGAATCTCACTAAATAGAACTGATTGTAGGAGGGACCTGTAGATGGAAACTTTGTCCGCTGGAAATTTTTGTACATTTATTATACCTATATAGGCAAGAATCGAACTTGCGACGCTGCGATTCTTGTGCAGCACTCTAACCAACTAGCCTACAAAGAGACAGCTGTTTTCCAACTCTAACCACAACATGATTCCAGTGTACGGTGTATGGGTGAACATTAGGTGAATTAGGATCTTGGGCATCTCACTAAATATAACTGATTGTCGAAGGGACCTGTCGATGGGAATTTCGAGTGGAATTTTTATACATTTTTTAGACCAAACCAAGGTCTACTAAATTTATAAAAATTTCCCTCGAAATTTCCAACTATATATTCGATGTAGCTCGTAATTCAAATCTAGGTTCAAGTTAGGTACAAAATTCACGGTATCTAACCACCTTAAGTGATGTTATGAAGTGTAATGCCGTGGCATTTTTGTCAGCTATGTTCTTTTGTTTATTTCTTGCATCAAAAAATCAAAAGCTATCAAAAAATACAGGGTCCAAATTTTTGACATTATGATATATCAGGTTGAATACAACCTGACTGAAGATGTATGAAATGTGATCTCATTAAAACAACGTTCATACAGTAGGATTTTCATGCAAGACTTTAAAGTTTGTTTCTTTTTTCTTTTGTTTTTCTCTTGAGTTGACTATAGCAATCAAACTTAAAAGTGATTTAGATCAATGCTTCACGAGTCATATGCTATACAACGTAGGTACAAAGTTCATTGTGTTGAACCTTTTTAAACGAGATGATTATATTGCTTAAAAATTCCTTGTACACAAATTCAAAAGAAAAATCTTCCAAAATTATCCCACAACACTTCTATAATTCGTCCAATACTGTCAGTAAAATTATTAAGTTTGCCGCAAAATCGGCGCAAATCCTAAGTAAAATTTTTCAAAATCCCTCTCAAAATCCCAGAGCCTGAACCACATAGTGGACAATTTCACGAGTAATCAAAAATCTTTGGATATATATCCAGGAATTTTAAACTCCTACAAATCCTTGTACGGTTTCTAAGAGTAATTCACACTAGCAGGTTGTGATCCTAAATTCTTACATATTTTGTTTTGATCTTAACAATTTCTTCAGGTGAAAGGAAATTGGGGCAAATTGGCAATAATATTTTAACTTCAATTTAATCCTTCCACACCTGAACGTATAATAAAACGTTTGTACTATATTCAGCATTATTTTCAGAACTAATTGAAATTTTCAGACGATGCAGCAATCACGCAGCATACATTAATTATATTGTGTATCTTAATTAATGACTATTTCTAGATCAGTCTTACTTAAGGATAGCATACCTGATAGGGATACAAAGGAACTAACCAACTAAATAAATATTTACCTAAAAAGCTAACCCTATAATTATCTAGCAGATAAAATAACTTACAGCAAGCAATCAAGTGATTCACCACCCAAATTACCAACTTACGTATTAATGACCTATAACTAATTAACTAATGATTATATCAAAATATTCCGAGTTTCAGATGTAGTATAAGCAATGAAGCTAATAGTGATCAAGAGGATTGCGGTCTTAATAATATACATGAAATTTATCACTCAATTGTGCAAGTGACAATGAATTTTCCTCTGTATATTATTAACAAATAATAGTATAGTTTCTCGTCCAATTTTGAAAATCATACACTCATGAGTTTTTCAAAGGCTTCAAATTGCACTCGACCTTCGGACTCTTGTAATTTTGATCGTCTTTGAGAAACTTGCTCGCGTGCACGTTACATTTTTTTCGAATAGCACTCGAAGCCATACTATTAATAACCTATACAAATTTTGGACTATTTTGTAAAGACTCGTTGTACAATTTTTATCACAATTGCCCCTGCACAGCATGCTACAGTTAAATTCACGACAAAAGTCTTGCTACGTGTTAAGGTGGGAATTATGATCGTTATCATACTGCAACAAATGTCTCAGGTCTCTGTTTATACGCCAACTGTTTGTTTTTGAACAAAATATTCACGTGCATGTACTTTTATAGTACAACATCACATGAGTTACGTGTTTGCGCGGTTAGATACAGTATAAGATTTATCCATTAACTCTCAAAATAAATTGCCTCCTGCAAAGAAGTGAATTATCACTGTTCTATATATAACGTACGCTGACTTGTTTGTTTTGTTGTAGCGCCGCCACGGGTGGAGTGTGGAGGACGTATCCAGTGGCGGACGCTATAGGAGGGGGCAAAGAGGACGACTTATACCCTAATATTTTATTTAGTCGTCTCAATAGGAGAACTAATTATACAAAACATACTATTGTAAACAAGGCGTGAATATATGGAATACCCTGCTTGAGAATAATACTGGCAACATTATGTGTTATTTTACTTTAAGAAAAAATCAAAAATATTCTTCTTAGAATATACCTGATTAGTGTTATCACTTGTTATAGCTATATTTAATTAATTTTTTGTAACATACACATATATGCACATACTTTTAGAGGGTGTTGATGGAAGCATATCGCGTCAGTCGTGATTGCTTAATTTCAGTTACTGTCAGTCGTGAAAATACTAAAACTAAACATTTACCATAAAGCGTGAGGAAAAAATACTGTTTATCGTTTCAGAACACTTTTCAGCAGATGCAAAGATTTACCACCTCCCTCCCCATCCAGACCCTCATTTTATACTGTAGAAAAGACTATATAATTATATAAACTTTTCTCACATTTTAATTCGTATGTTTTTACATTATATTCAAATCACTATTTGCATGGAAATACCATATTCGCCAATTCATAATTAACTTTAATTAATAATTATTGTTAAACTAGTGACCTTTCAGTGAAATCCTTAAAGGGTTTCATAAAGATTCCTAGCCCTTACGTTTGGTTTACACATTTCCATAAAATAGTTTATGAACAAAACAACCAAGTTCTACCAAGATTTCCAACAAGGAAAGGCTGACGATATTAACTGCTTAGAACAAATTCGCAATTTTTGAGCCTTTCAATTCGCTCCTCCCAATATTTCGCTAAGTTTTTGCCACTGAAAATTCCTTCGAAATATGGAAGGGATATGCAAACCAAAACATAATTTAATTGAGGTTAATTAAAGAAAGTAATTTGTAGTGATATGCAATGCTTGGGCAAAAATTACTGCTCCCTTGATTTCCAACCCAAAGCTATGCCAATTATGTTTTGTTCGTTTAGCTCGAACGTGCAATATTATACGTAAAAAAACTGTTATATAACTACGCCTACATACCATCGTAAAATAACATGAACCTATAGTAATAAAAGCAGGATATGATATATTCCTGCTCCGGCCTTCAATACATAAAAGTCAACCACATGCATATAAGGGTAACGAGATTTTTAGACATCTTGTTTGGCAGGACTAATAGTAGATGGATGTTTTGTAGATGGACTTTTTGGTTGGAGTGCCGCATAGAAATCGATTCCTGGTTCGATTCCTGCAAGAAGGACTGTGTCCCAAACTGCTCCTGCATGGTTGGGTCGAAAATATAGGCCCTATAAATAAAAATGTATTTGATTTAAATTTGCTTTGGAAAATTCAATAAACAAAATCCCATCAACTATACTTGCATACAGTAAGCCTTGTTACCTTGTATTCTCATTTCATTGAAAGGAAGCCCTTAGCAACGAGGTAAAGCCAATTAAAGCCGTCGTAGTTGTTTCTATATCTGTTATATAAGTTCAAGAAACTTAATCTTAAATGTTGTTCAAAGATGCATACACAGATCTGCTGCATTTGACTGTTGTAAATCTATATGGCAAAATAGTATGGATTCGATATATATCTAATTGTGTGGAAATACAAATGAATAAACAACATCGAGATCGCAGTTGATGTTTTCTGGGCAGCAGTATTATACATTTTTGCTTTTTTCCCTGTTTGACGTCAACTGTTTTTCGCTTATTGCCAGCCCTTAACGTTACTAAGCAGTCGATCGGTATATGTTAATATAATTATGTTTTAGTCGGTAGGCAGTATGGAACAATATTGAAGTAGGCCATAACATTCTTCAACCAACTTTTTGAAGTCATGCATGCAGCATTTTGAATACATTGTGGTAGTGTGGTATACAGAGCTATTTCCTATACATCGGTACAAATAAAAGATATTAAGTATTGTTCTATATATGCACAATCTTGGCGAAATGTCAGGGAAACGCTCAAGAAAATCAATATGCATAATAATTTAAACAACTGAAATCCTTTCTCTCCTGAACAATGTTGGTTGCGCATTGTACTGAAATGTTTGCTAAGGCAGTTCAAGATCCAGAGAGCACCATGTTTGGTTTTTTACTCAATTACTTTAAACAACATTGTAAGAGGAAAGTGGTTAAAATATATTAAATTCATTTGTTAATGATCTGGCTAGAGTGCAGGGTTATAGTCTAGCGAAGTCGCGAATTACTATTGTCAAGGAATTATTTTGACTCCTAGTTTTTAAAACAATAGTTGTAGCTGTAGCCCGCAGTTGATTACTCAGTTTCATGCAAGGAACAACCGCTACTTGCCACTTTTCAAATTTCTCATCAATCATCAATCGGGATGCATAAACAGAACATATAGAGTCACACCAAATCTTCCTACCAGAGCGTGCAACTCTTTTGTTCCTTAGTTCACCACCAAAAAACCTCTGTCACTGAGAGTTTGATATAAGGCTTTCTTACATTGCCTATACGTATATCCGACTTTTGATCTATTTGCCAGCTTTCTTGCCATTCAAATTACAAATGAGAAGAACGTACATAGTACATAGGACATCAATTTGAATCGCAAATGTGGATATCAGCTTATTATCAGGATATTTTGTTGCAGCAAAGTAGCGAATAGTTCGCTGCATTTTTTAAACAGTAACAATATAGTCAGGGTGAAATACTTTCTTGTCAACAAGCAGTAGTTGTAGCGGACTACATGCACTGATATGTCTAGTTCGAAGTAACTATATAGCTGAAGCAATCTGGAAGAAAACGTTTGTAGCCAAACTACCCCTGTTAACGATGCAGTTGTTTCTGCGTGCTTTATAACAGAATTGTAGCCTGTATGAATTATTTGTAGATTCTCTATAGACTGATTTTTGGCTTAATGTGAATACAAAACGATATCGGTACAACACATCTGCACGGTTGAATACATATTTATCAGTCTTACTGTATGCGGTTAAAATATTGTATAATGCAAGCAGAGACAACAAAAAGCATTCTGTCGAGACAAAAAGAGATTTAATGCTCCAAATACAGATTTAACTATAACTAAACTTCAACCGCAAAAGTAATAGTTTTATTATCCAAAATCTGTTATTAAAACCTAAAAGTGTATAGACAGAACAGTTTATCCCTGTTATCCACAGGAAATGATGTCGAATCACTTCCTGAGGAGTTGTCGCACAGCAAGCAATTTGAGTCCATTTGAACCCACAAGTTGGTACAGAAACGCAATGAAACCATTTATAGATATATTTTAATGTCAAACGCACGTCATCAACTAAACATGGTCTTTTCATTCTCCACACTCGTTTTCCTGACTAAACGTGGGCTTATAGTGATCAAGCTGTGCCCTAAATGATATCCTGCGGGAACAACGCAAACTGTTTAGTGCAAACAAAGTGAGCACTAATAGACTGTTTGTAAAAGCTTTCATTCTTTATTGAACGAGTTGGCCTTGGCAAAATAACTACACAGCGGGATATTTAGCCTGACCCTTTCTTCTTTAATGAATAGGACATGAAAACATCAAAACACTGAACATAAGTCATTTTGTTTCCTATACATGATAACACGTATGCTTATGTAACTACTACATTGGCCAGGTACAACGATAGAACTTATTCGCTTTGCAAAGAAAATTTTGACCACACCTTCAGAAATTTAACTTTCTCACAAAATTCCATATAGCCAATGCCTACTTATACTGATGATTTATGAAATATATGTGATTGCATGCTATTAAAAATATATGAACTGTATGCAATATCAAATGTCTCAAGTAAAATATAGTTTGCTTGAATATCTAAATCAGTGAATTTAGATGTCTTTAAAACAATCTGAAGCTGCCTCACAAGCTGTAAGATTTTGAATTGGTTGTAAATCTTATCAAGCTAAGTTCTTGAATTTCAGGTTTTCAATCTAATTAATTGTTCATGCATATTTAAATAGCGATTTACTATCGCTCAGCCAGTATTTCAATATATTGCTACACTTTTCGTAATCAATGTAATTTTGAGCCAATAGATACGTTGTCTCGAGCTATAGGCTATACTGTAAATAATATCTTATTCAGAATCGGAATTAAATTAATTAGTTAGAGAAGCATAAAAGGCTACTGATAGTCGTACGTATATATATTTTTTGACATTCTTAATTGAAATATTCTATAACTAGATGAACAGTATTCAGGAATTATACACCATATTAATTCATACCATCTTGTTAGTCCTACGTTACATAATTTTCACTGATGGCATTCTTGAGAGTAATATTTTGATTTTGACAAAACATTTAAGACTTTAATGGATTTCACAGCATGATGACAACGGGTATTTATGCTTGATGTTTCAACACATCAGGACAGCACAGTTTTTATTCCATTTTGCACCGTGTGGAATTATTTGCTATTGAAAATTCGAGAATTCATCTCACTATAGGGCTGTCGAGTGTGCTTCAATATTGATTATTTATACAACACATAAGTTTCAGTGCATGAGGGTTCTTAAGTGACGTTGATTAGAAAGGCGGAGCACACTAGTCTTTCTGTATGTATATGAATCACACATTAGCTACAGTATAGTTAACGCGTTTGCTGTGTAAATACAATCTAATATTCAAATGTCATGAGAAATAGTGTCAAGATGTTTATATATGTAGGCATAGGATGCCTTTACGCATAGCGAAAGTTTCTAAATAATTCTTCTTAGTATGATATATAGGTGTCCTCCCGTTTATATTTTAGCTGTCCATTTTATAACAGAAACAAACGGGCTGCAAGATTAATTAAATGTGCTTATAGCTAAACACAGTAGGCGGGTTTCCCTCCTCTGAAATTAATTGTGCACGCCTCCTTATGTTTATGTGTCAATAACAATAAGGTTGGTTCGTTTTGATTGGCTATCCAAATCCATCAATCTTTTTATTTGCTTATAACGACTTGCGTTAAGTACTCAATCCCACCGAGAGACGGATTATATTTTAAGAGCGCGACACTTAGGACACTGTGCTGCTGAGATTATACTTGGAATTTAACCTCTCGACTTAAAACATGAAACTCCTTGCTTGTATTGTACTACAATGCTTCGTACTTGTCCATTTAGCTGATTGCGTTGTCTTTAGTTGGCTGTGGAACGTTAATCCACTCGAGGCAGATTCCATTTCGAAGCACAACTCAAGTACGGCACTGAACACAAAACGGGTAAGTGGAATTGGCTTCGAGATCCTGTAAGAGTGAACTATAGTCAAATTTATTGAACATGTATGGAACTATTTGTTTCAAATTATATCGTCTAAGACATTGTCATTGACTGAGCGATAATTTTACTTCATATTATTATATTATTTTAATTTTCAATGTTTCGATCATTGCGTACTGATCGTCTTCAGATTTATATACATTTTTACAAGAAAGATAATTATCATTTATTTCTATGCTTTTGGTTCAGTTTGTCTGCAAAGGATATTTTTATCTTGGTTAAAATATCACATGTGTTTCTATTTGTTTTCTCAGACCTGCACGAAAGATCGCAATTGCGGAGCAACGAATTATTGCCATCGTCACTACGGCACCTGTCACAAGTGCAAGAAAATTGGAGCGAAATGTAGACGTGATCATGTTTGCTGTAAAGGATTCGAGTGCGTCTTTGGTAGTTGCAGAAGAATTGTTAAAAAAGGAAACTTCCTTTCGCGTTGCAGAAAAGATAGAGACTGCAAGAAGGGACTGTGCTGTGCCAAGAGTCATGGAGAGTTTGTCTGTAAACCTATGTTGAGGGAAAATCAACTTTGTTCTGTCCTGGAGGGTGGAGTAGCCTACACTGTAAACCACGGTTGTCCATGTGACGAGGGTTTGGTGTGCAGACGATGGAAAATTCGTAGTAAAAGGTGAATAATATAAATTGTACTTATATACAATGTTTAGCCAAACATGATTGAGCATGATGATTTTGTGATTCAGTTAATGTGGTCGAACCATCTCTGCAAAACATTTTTAGAATTCTGTTTGCATACAATTTTTTTGTGAAATCCAATGCATCATGGCTTGAGGGTTTGAAAGTCTATTTTCATTTCAATAGATATTTTGAATTTCTGATATGGATAAAAAACTAGGTTGTCATTATAGGGCGCGATACGTTCGTCACCATAACTCATTGTCGTCTGTGCCGTATAGTTTCAAACACTCGTTGGTCCAACATGTTGCATTATAATTTAAAAGATTCTACTGATCGCGAAAAAAAATCGAGGTTCTCTTACATTGACCGACTACCTTATCAGAGTCGTTATCCCCATGATCAATTAATATATTTTTCTAATGAAAAGTATTCTCTTAATTAAATATCTTGTAACACCACCAATTTTTACGATGGTTTTGATGGAACCATGGTCATCGCCTTAACCAATATTGGTATCCATCCAATATTCCCCTTCCAAAATACTTTCCAAACGCATGCAGGCAGTCAATAATTGCCTGGAGTAAAAAGAAAGAGATAAAGCATTTTGTGATAATTTAAGCTTGTTCTTTGTTTTCAGAACAATAGATGCATAATTAACACCTTTTAAATACTTAGACTTCTTGTCTCTTTGTTGTTTAGGGTGAAGGGAATTATTCCTCCAAAGCACAAGACAAAGATAAAACGCTGCCAAAAAATACCCTCTTGAACTCCCTAGTTAAATCTTATTATACTTTGCAAGATTATACCGTCAGGATTGGAAATGTAGGCGATTCTGTGCTGGTCTGACCAGTTTATTGAGTGACAGCTCTCAGCATGGGGGATCTTTAGCCAAAATGAATTAGGCTAAGTTGTAGTCATGCCCCAATAATTTGTAAAAGAACACTCACATTATACGAATATAAAATATATTATAAACTGTACAAAGTATAGACACAATATATTTAATATTCGGCATGCGACAATATATGAACCTTGTGTTATGAAATAAGGCATGGTAGGACCCGAAGAATTTTCGTAAACATAGTTCTTGATATTATGTATTATTAATATAGCTTGCTGTGCACATATCCAATGAATTCACTCGTGGGTATGCAGGTTTTCATAGGAATATATAAATTTTTGTTTTGTTATTCTCAATAACATATCATCCACTGTAAATAGATTGAATGCACTTTGAATAAAATTCACTTGTACAATAAAAAATAACCATTTGAAAAACAGAGTAAGGTGTCAATGTTTTATGCACGTCCATAATTAGAGACTAACTATAGAGATTCATGCTATCAACCAGATGTTGCCCTCAATGAGTTTCGATAAGCCTGCTGGGCAGGTTAACTATATTGATTGCAAGAATTAGGAAATGTCAGATAAACAAAATATTGCCTCATATGTAAATTATGGCCATGATAAATTGCCTTTCCATAGAAATGTTTAATATTGGAACGCTTATGTAGAATAATCTCGAATCCTTTGCAAGTTCCACCATAGGTGGTCAAGTTCCAGATGTTAGTCGTGCAAATAATATATAAGCTGCCGTTATTTTTGTCTGAACTCCTGAAAAGTTTAAAGGGCGATACGTCTAGCTTCGAGCAAATTAAGATTGAAGACCCTTCATCAGGAAACCATTATTATATCTATACACTAGACTCCCACCTTCGAGATGCCAATAATATATGTTAATCACTATCTTTGAATATCAAATAATAATAAATAAAAATATTTCATCAACAAAAAAATAATTCAGCATATGTATAGCGACATAAATATAAAAACTACATGCATGTGCACACTAGTAATGATGACCTATACTGTTTCAAAAATTTTGAGGACATTATATATCATCGAGATATTCGTATAATTGTTTTATTTTGCAAAGCCATGATATACTATAAATTATAAAAATATCTTAATAATAGTAAACGCAGAAAACGAAGTTTATTTTGACATAGATTATTTACGTACAATTACATCTAAGATTGTTGACCTTTGTCAGTTTTCTGCATAGCATGCATGGTATTTAAAAAGTCAGTTAGCGTCTTTCGTCCCTAATTTCATAAGATCCCAAATCACAATATTTACAATCTATCTCTGTTGGACACCTTGCTGTATCGACCAGTTTCAACGGGTAACCTATACGAGCTGATACTCTTAACTTCGTAACAGCCGGACCAAGTTTGAAGTTGTGCATCAAAGGTTTTTTTATCAAATATAATTGCATGGATGTTTGCTGTAAAAAAGTATGTTATATAATTTAAGTCGTTTTTTTTAACTTTTAGTGATTTAATAGCCCTGTTGAGCCGTGCCGACTTGCATGCTCCAGCTTACTGGAGAGAATATCAAAGCAATGGATATATGCATTGAATTAATCATTGAGAGGTATTCCATGCAGACCTTACCTTATAACTGTTTTCGTCCAGTATTAATTTATATTGGCTATAAGGACAGATTTTTTGCGTATTTGTCTCGTATTTGCAATGAAATTATCTCTAAAAATTCTTTGATGCTATATTTTCTAGTTTCTACTGTTAGCTACCTTTATCGCGATAAATATAATAAATTATTCCTAAAAAATGCCATGCATGGCATATTTACAGCAATATATTAAGCAAAATTTACCGAACTTCAGAAATAATTTTCTCTCTGGTATCTAATTAAATCTCCTAATTCTAGCAATAATTTACAGATAAAGTACAAACTTCTTAAGTTAGTTTGCTGATTGAGAAAGGTATCAAATTTAAAAATATAAAATTTTGAAAGCAGTCATAACCGAGTGATATTATTATGCTGGTTAGTTTTGAGTCATCCATATTAAATATTCAATGCACTATATGGGTGGGTTTAATTAATAATTAGAAGGTCGTTGACATCATCAATTGAAGGAATTTAGAGCTAAACCCTAGTCAGTTTTTCACAGGCTTACAGCCGACTGCAGACGAGCAACTATTAATTCTATGAGAAGTTTTCATATGGCAATGCAAGTTTTATTTGTCAATTGCGGGTGTCTAAGTACAACAAATGTTCCAAGACAAGTTTTAGGTTTTCTAACAGCCACGATCGATAGCCATTATTAGCTATTACAAGGCTGGATCGCCGACCAAGCGCATACAAGTGCCCAAATTACTTTGCAAAATTCTCCTTGTTACATAATATACAAAATGTGTACTTACAATTTTTTCTATGGCAAGCGTACTTGTTCAAATGTTCGCGCGAAGCCTTTGAACATGTGTACTTGTCATAGTAAAAATTGGCAAAGTTACCTACATGTAAATGCAGACGAGGATATAAAACTGTCATGTGAAAACTTTTAGAGAAATTGCTTGTCTGTAATCGGCATAACTCAAAGGGTCCAAGCTGTGTTTCCGTCCGTCTAAGTTATACCCTTCGCCGCCATATGCGTCTCAAGTGTCCATATAGGGCGTGGTCAAGCTATAATTCACGAAAGGCTTAACTGCATGGAGAAGGGTGTAACTCTATAAGGGCTGCACTCGAAAATTGCCGAACTCTGAAATAAAGAGCTTTTGTGCTGCAATGCACGACCGATTCTCAAAGTGTGAATAAATCTACGTTTTTAGCTTAATTTAAATCATACGAGTTTATCCGCCAGCCTCTCGATTAGCCTCGTGATTGTGGTAACACATACCTCCCCATGCCATCCATTACTCAGTTGTACCTATCAAATTGTGATCTATTATACACAGTATTATTTATTTAAAGAAATTTATGATTTATGATTGGCTAACAGCCAACTATGAAATCGTCACATCAACGCAATAGCTAACCAAATATGGAGTTGTGTCGTAATAGTTAATGATTGACGTCATAACAATACGTTATGAGAAAATAAATATACTAAACGTTATGACGTCATGCCAATGACAACTACCGAAGAAATGAGGAACATTTCACAACTCAGATTGCTTGCTCGATTGGAACTGGGCCAACTGGCCGCTGTTTCATCGTCTAAATAAATAATAAACAATTATTGAATTCGGTTTTCATATGATATGGAGAATCATCAAGGCCTAAGTTCGTGTTACAATCTTCGCCTTGATATTTCTTCGTATCACACTCCATCTCGTTGCAGATTGTTAAAGATCTACTCAAACAATATTTTTTTTCTTTCTCCTATGGTAATCGAAATCTTAAAACGTTTCTGACTGATCACTTGTAAATCTGCCGATTGGTAGTGCGTGACGGTGCAGACAAAATAATATAGCTTTTTGTTCAGAAAAATATAATCTCGCTCCTACCTGCTTCGCAGTTTCTCGTCAGTATTTCGTGATGATGTTACCATTGTCTAGAAGGCAACGATCTAAAAACTACAGTAGGATAGGTTAGCCAGTGCATTTGCTAGCAATGGCAATAATTTGCATATGCAAGGCTGAGTTTACACATATTTATTTGGACTATGCTTTGATTGAACATCGTGGCATGCAGGCGAAGGATTTCCTTCAGGTGCTTTTCTAATCTCGTTAGGCTCGAGTAGACGTGGGAAGCTTCTTTCTCGCCTTCGAAGTCTGTTATGTTTAGATTTTATAGCCATTTAATTCACCTACGACATGCGAGCAAGCCTCAAATTTCTTCAGAAAATTAATTTCGCTGATCCGTCACTTTGGGAATGGAATATTTCAATAGTTAAGCAATAATTTCGCGCGCAGAATTTTCTGTGCCCTCACTCAACATCGAATTAGGTACGTACTGAATGCTGGGTACTTTCACCTCACGTGATTTCGTTGTGACGTAGCAAAACAAGGAAATACCCTATCTCACTGCTCATAAAGAACAGCAGTATTGTCCCAGCAACGTACAACAATGCAATCACCATGCAATAAATACTTCGAATAACATCCAGAAGTTGAGGGTCCTGAAGGGGTAAAATGGGAACTGGGATTGATCTACTTTTAGACTGGGAAAATGGGATCTGGGTTACTGGGACTGCGATTTGGCCACTGGGAATGGGAAATGAAGTCCTCAAAAATGGGAATGGGATTGAGGTAATGCGAGTCGATTCCCAATTTTTCCACATTTTAAGTATTTTAAAATATAATTTTGATCCGTTTTTGGTGTCTTTGGTCATGATTTTTGTTGTTAAATATATTATTCACAGAACTACCTGCGAACAGGCATACTCTGGCGCCGGAATTTATGGGTTTTCTGATTATGCGTGTCCCCAAGTCAGATGCACAGCGGAATATATGCCTGGTTTCCAGTATATACTCAATTTAGCCCACACCCGGTGGCTTAAAAGGTCTTAAAACTGTTTATTCTACCGATAAATAACTTTTTTTATTGGCTGGGATTTCAATAACTCGGACTGGGATTTCTAATAAAATCCAACTGGAACTGCGATTGTGCCAAAATTTCAGGTGGGAAATGGGATTGGGACCCCCCCCCCCCTTCAGGACCCTCAAAGTTCTTTGAACTGGCCATGGTTTAATTCATGTTGTTATATAGCTAGGGTGAACACCAAACGTGATTGGCTGATTTGTGGTCACGTCACTTCAGATAAATGCAATGTATTCCGCCGGACAACAAGTGAAAAATTGTTGCCCGCCCCGACCGGTACGTACATAAATAGACAAAATGGCGGCACAATTAGCATAATTAATTAGAAACTACGATTTTCCTGAGTTTGTGTTCATATCAAGAATGTAAAAGAGAAGAAAAATACACAACAGGCAACAGGATATGCTGATGAAACCGGTTAAGTAGGTTCTTTTCATTTTAAACTCGTTTACACTATAGAGTTTTTTGTCACGAAATAGAATTGTTGTATGAATGTTGTTGAATGATGATTTTTGTTCATCGCTATATAACAAAACGCTTAATATCTGTTGCCTCGGGAAATAGTTAGTTTAGTTAAAACAAAACAAACTATTTCCCTCGGCAGCAGATATTAAGCCGGTATACTACATAAAGTGTGTGATGGCAGATAAACGCCATCGTTTCGCCTCCAGAAACTGTAAACTTCCTACGTGGCATAAGGCCTTTGGAGAAACAGCTTTTCAGCTTCTTCCCTAAAAGACTGGACAATAGGACTAAAACAATAACTTTGCCTATAGGTGTATGAGGCGGGAGACAGGGGCAGCTGTTCCCCCTCCCTTCTCCTCCCTTCCCCTCACTTCCCCTCCATTCCCTTCCCCTCCCTCCCCCCCCCCCACCTCGACCATGGATCTAGCGCAGACTAAGCAAATTCGTGTCATAATCATTCTTTTACTGCTGAACCATGATGACTTCTTCGTATTTATCCGCAATCCAATCTCCTGGATCACCAAGACCTGTGGGAAGAGGCTACTGAATGGCAACCTGAATGGGAATCCCAATCGGAATCACCAAGACCTGAATGGGAACCTGAGTGGGAATTGCCAAGACCTGAGGGAAGACGCTACTGAATAGGAATTACTTGAATGGGAAATTGAATGGGCAACCTGAATGGGAGCCCCGATTTGGGAGGAAAAGAAATCTTAGCATGCCTGCACGTCGAGCTGGGCCACCTGTATGCCCAATTTTGAGTTCAGAATATCGATAATACCAACTTTACTGTCGCTTATATTGTTCTAATAATATAACGTTTTACTGATGCATGTGGCCCATGGAAATTATTTTCCTGATTTCAACGATATCTGTTGAATTGGTGGCCTTGCTAATCATAATAAACCTATGGACCCGTTTAGATATACTTTTCGCAAAAAAAAACATGGCTACGACAGTTTGTGGTTACAACAATAATCTATTAGTTATTCTGGAAGAAACTCACAACAATAACTATTTTAATCCATGCACTAACAATATATTTATACTAAAAGTAATTAAAAATATCTAAAGGTAAATAATTGTTCAGTTTTCTTTGTTCTTCTAACATTAATTTGATGGTAGACAAAGTACTAGGACAAGCCCAGTTATACAAGAATTATGTTCCACAGTATTGAGCTACACCATCGATATGATAACTTGTAGATGCTAGGTGCTGTAGTTCAAGAAAATGTTGTTTCCAAAGATTTCAGTCACGCCAAGATTTACAAGTGTTATAACATTTACATGTTATAAGTGCATGGACACCAAATTCGTAGTCTCACGCTCGTAAGTAAGACCAAGCCAAAGACCCTCGTAATTCACAAACAGCTTCCGGATTTTCTCAATTTTCTGTTTTAGTGCGGGGTTTGCTGTAAACCTTTACACCGTTTTCACCATAACTCCGAAATCTAGTTTATAGTATAGTTATTTAACCGAACCGATTTGTCATTTTCATTTCTACTTTCATCCGCCAACGTTGCTCCACTAATTTTGGTTTTGGTTCCTCCATATCAATCACTTTAGTTTAATAGTTAATATATTGTATATTGCTTCGGTTCAATTAACAAACCACCTCGAGTTTAATCACATAACAACTATATATACGACAGTTTGAAGAAAGTTATCACTACCATTCCTCATGTTGTAATCATGACGACACAGTAAAATATTTGTTCCTACTGACGGTCTTTCGAGATGCTCATGATATTTCACCTGCATGACTTTACAGTACAATGGTTTTCTTAAATAACCTTGTATATTGTTTATCTTTCACAAATCAACGATTTTTTCCAATATATCAGACGGCAACTGTAGCTTATAGAAAGTAGCATTATTATTCTTGTATATCAGTTACAATGAGACCTGAAGTTGTAAAATTCAGTTTGATAATTCAGCAAACATATTTTTGATAATTCAGCATATAATTTCCACAGCCATTGTGAAAATAATTGCATGGTACAGGAACAGGCCTGAAAGGCGTATTTCTTCAACAATATAATGGCAAAACTGTACAGTCTTTGTTCATTCGAAACGCTCACGGTCTTTTGAAGTGCTCGTTAATTTTCTTTGGCTTTGTATGTTGTGTTCCACACTAATCATAGGGTTTCCGACATGTTCCAACGGCAACTAGTTTGTCAAAAAGGTACTATTATTTCCATATATCGATTTAATTATAATCAGGGATATCTAAATGCAACTGAATCACAACCAAATGTGTATCATGCATCCATCATAAGTGATGTAATGGTAAAATACAGGAACTGTTAGTAACAGACGACGTATAGTTTCAAAAGATGTCTTCACAACACAATATAGCTTTTGTGCACATATGTCACTCACAATCTTTCGAGGTGGTCATGATATTTCTTCGTAGTTTTACGACTTTCCCTTTTCCCTATGTTGGCAAAAGTTCTTATATCACATTCCAATAAGCCAGTTCGGCGTATAGCTGCTGCGCATGCAACTCGAGATAACTAATCTCTCTGTTATAGTCTTATAAAAACATTTTTCTTTTTGAACCCTCTATCGTAGCTACCGAAGGGTAGGATTTTTATTTCTTCGGAGGACTAGTGTGAATTAAAGATCAACAGTATATGCATGTTACGATATGGGTGAAATGAAAGGCGAGTTTAATTAAGTTTTAAAATTCGAATTAGTAGCTGATGGAAATTATTTTTAGGAGGCAAGTAGTTTTTGGACGATTGAATTGCTTAGTCCAAATTATGACAACATTCCCTCAGCTAACAAACAATTTTCTAATTTTAGCCCCAGATAGACTAAAAATCTATTGATTGTATTAGGAAAACATGAAGTCGTATTTTGTTTTCTTTTTTTGTAGAACATAAATCTCTGAAGTGTCAGAACACGTCATTTGAATACCCTGCAAGTCAATACTTTGAACTGGCTTATTGGACTGGACAGAAATGTTTTTAACTTATTTTCCATGCAGAGTCTAAGCATAGAACAGACAATGATCACGTCTGTTCAGCGAGATATAAACTCCCCAGAATTAGTTAGGGAGTGTGCATCCCAATTTGCTTCGTTTGTCTTTTGTTGAATAATTCATTATCATGCTCTCTCTATATCACTGGGAAAAAAATTTGAAAATCCATAGAAGGTCATAGAATGGAAATTGTATGGATCTTTATTGGAAATAGAATGGATTTTGGCATCCATAATAATTGTATATTTCCATATTATGGATATAATATGGAAATAGCATACACTGTGGAAATAGCATACACTGTGGATACACTGTGGATTTTGTGGTACAATATGGACCTTCAACCTTATAACTAACATTTTGATCTAGACAAGTCTAGAGAAAAATTTCACCACAGCTTGAAAGAGCATCGCAAAATTAGTAATATTCCGAAGTTTCGTTGCGAAATGTTGTAATATGCGGATAATATAGCCCTGCGAAATTTGCAATTTTCAGTCATTTTGTATTACAAACGGGAAATTGATACCCCAACACCCGATTGGGATATCAATTTCCCGTTTGTAATACAAAATTACTGAAAATTGCAAATTTCGCAGGGCTATATCAGTCCGCGTGTTACAACATTTCCTAACGAAACTTCGGAATATTACTAATTTTGTGATGCTCTTTCAGCTGTGATGAAATTTTTGTCTAGATCAAAATTTTAGTTATAAGTTTAAAGGTCCATTGCAAATTTCGTTGTATGGATTTCACTTTTTTTTCCAGTGTATATAAAGCATATACTGAAGAGTTATATATAGCTATGACGCTCGCTATATGAGACAGTTCATGGAAATATATAGGCCACTAAACTATTGAGTTCCAATTGGCTGAATGGGTGTGACCATGTTCTAATGGTAATTGTATGGCGTTCAGAAAATCATCATTGTTAAAATTGGGGCCCTTAATTGTCTTTTGTTTAACTTATTTATTAGTTTATTTCTTTCTAATTCATCTCACTATAATATACTACAATTAAGATGCATGGTAGCAATTCTTACAAAGAATGTATAACGTAATCCTGCATATTATACAACCACTGCATTATTTTCTAATCGAATCTAAACGAAGTTTTTTCTATTTAAAAATGCTATTTTTTTTCTTTTGTGTGGCTTACTCCACAATGGACCTCAAAACCTGTTTACGTTTCCTGGCAGATAAAATCATTGAAAGCCAAATTAAATTCGTTTCGTGATAATTATGTATTTAAACACGTACATACTAAAATACTCCTTTGAAAACACTTTAAAATATGATTTTTCATAAAAACATCCGGCAATGTGACATGCTTTAACATAAAAGCGAGCCTTGTAGGAACTCACAATTTGGAACATTATGATTTATAGTTTTGCTTAAAATTATAAAAGCGCCTGAAAACTTGTCTTCGCGAAATTTAGTCGTGAGATTAGTAATATATATACACTGTTTTCGTTAAGATTACGTCAATTTAACTTTAAGCATATATACACGGAATTGAGTTTTTTACGACATTATGGTACGCGAGCGTTGATTGGTCGACCATCGTGTTTCTATAATCGTGTGGAAATAAATGCGGGAAATTTCCCGTCTGCCAGGTTCGAATTCCGCCAGAGGGCCTATATATATAGTTGGATTTTTCGCAGCTGCTCCTGATTATAGGTCTAAACAACTGTATAAAATTCTCACTCGAAATTTTAATCTCCCGAAAATCCTTGAAAATGAGTTCAATTTGAGTGAGATATTCCTACTTTTAACACGCACTGTATCTTGACGACGTGATAATACTACTTTTCAACACGAAATTAAGCACCCATGCATGCACAGAACAAAATATATAATAATTAATTAATAATAAAAATGGAATTTTTCTCTGTTTGACAACATGCAAATATATGAAGCAGATATAGTTTTAAATATTTACTCGCCAATGTGTAATAATCATTTACAAATTACAAATTACAAATTACAAAAGTATCAGTGTTAACTTATACATGAATCTCTGCAGTAAATATAATAATATTATTCCTTTCTCGTTCTGTAAACCTAACCTTATATGTCAACCTTATGCCAATTTACCAATATATGTTTTCAAATCAGTTAACTTTGATTGACGACGTGTATATATATAAATTGCCTACATCAAATTAATTTTGAAACTATTTATACTTTACACCCGTTTTCAAAATTACGCGACCAAGGACGAAAATGCTAGAGTTGACATGTCAGTTTTATGTCATTCGGTCACGAAGTTTAAACTTCGAGTTTGCGGTTCCTTGTCGATGTATATGCTTTATATGCTTTATATAAAGATGCTTACAATGATTTTCAAGATATTTTAGTGAGAATTATTGCAAAATTTAAGCATAAACAAAATCATAACATATCGTTATAGTCTAGCGCGCGTGTTTTATACGGACAGCTAAATTCCAGGATAAATTGTTATTTTTCAAACTTTAAAAGTTATTCACGGCACATATTTCTGTTGTAATTGTTTGTATAGTGCTTTAGTTTGTATATCTAAGTTATCTAGCTCATTTTTGTTCCGTTTTGGTATTAAATACGATTTAAAATGTCTTTTGCCAGTTTGTTTACGTTTGCTATTTCTAGCAGTTTTTGTGACATAAAACTGACATTTGAAGTAAGAGTATTTTTCAGGGAGGTCGCGTAATTTTGAAATGGGTGTAATTGACTATAAAATCATACTTCTTCTCAATATTGTTATTTTTTGTTTTCGGAAAGTCTTTTGTCTTGAGTAAGTTTGTAGTTTAATTAGGGACCGGTCGTTATTTGTGGCGGGGATGGCACCGTAGGGAAATGTTTTTCTTGATAAATCAAATCCTTGGTTCATTAATCTGGTCCACACATGGACGCCGGAGGATGTCTTTAGGGAGCAGTCATTGATTAAGTTTGTGTCATGGAGGGCCGGAGGCTATTGGAAGTTGGGGTATAAATATAAATGTTAATATGTCTAGAATAAAGCAGCGTCTATATTATAAGGAGGGGTATGGAATTTGTTTCCTATTATTTGAGAGGGTGCCAAGTAATTTCTTGAATCGATGGGATCGCCGGTCCATTACCGCCGGTCCATTACGGGGAAATAGTGGACCGCAGATAGTGCTTCTCAGCCAATCACAGTCCGCCATTTCACCGGAACTGACGCTTGCCATATAATAAACATAATTAATGACCGCTCCCTCGAAGTAACGAAAATCCAATCCTTCTTCTTTTTCCCTCCCGGCGCTCCTTTGTTTCACTAGTAGTATATCATATTTTTCAACTGTCGTGAACTTAACAAAAGTATCTTCAAATCATTTCATACAAAATCTATACAAACTCCTATAACGTTTTCTTCTAAATGTTGGCCTTATTTTGACTTGCTCAAGTAGACCACGATAAGTTAAATTTATCTTCATATTGTTTGATTTACAATT